TCATGATGACCTTTGTGGGAGTGACCATTTCCCTACCATCCTTAAAACTGTTAACCCTACTGATCGTCCACCAACAACACGGTGGAATTTTACAAAGGCTGATTGGACATTATATGAATTATTATCCACTGAAAAATGAACCCTGACATTGTTCAACATGTTCCAGATTCGATACAGTTGTTTTCGGACATGCTGAATGAAATTGCTGATAAAGCAATTCCAAAGTCGTCTACAATTCCACATATTCGTAAACCATGGTTTAACAACGAATGCAAACAGGCACGAAAATATAGGAAGAAAGCGGAAAAGTATTTCCGCCGCAATCCTACAGTCCATAATCTAGATAAGGTCAAAATTACCAATGCCAAGGCACGACGTGCTTTTAAACAAAATAAGCGTCAGTCTTTGAGGAACTATGTCTCCAAAATAAGTTCCCGCACGCCCATATCCAGGTGTGGAATATGGTGCCAAAAAAAAGGCAAATGTTCAAAATCATCTGTTCACCATCTTAAGGAAGGGACACGATATTAACGGACAAAACTGATATTGCAAATAAACTTGGAGAAACGTTAGCAAAACATTCTTCAACATCTAATTATTTCCCGGAGTTTCAACAATTTAAGAAACAACAGGAAAAGAATAAAGTAAATTTCACTTCTGATAATGGTGAAGACTATAATGAAGTCTTCTCGTTACATGAGTTACATACTGTCCTTGGGCAAGCTCATGACACAGCAACGGGAGCTGATAACATACACTACCAGCTTTTAAAACATTTACCTGAATCATGTCTGGAGACACTTTTAGATATATTTGATCAAATATGGACATCAGGGAATTTTCCTCCTTCATGGCATAATGCCATTGTTGTCCCTATACCAAAGCCTGGCCGGGATCATACAGATCCCTCTAACTATCGACCTATATCCTTAACAAGTTGCGTATGTAAAACCATGGAACGAATGGTTAATAATAGATTAATTTGGTATTTGGAAACCAATAATCTAATTACAAATATCCAATGTGGTTTCCGAAAAAATCGAAGTACTATCGACCATTTAGTACGATTGGAATCCTTTGTGAAAAATGCTATTGTAAATAAACAACACGTAGTATCAATTTTCTTTGATCTTGAGAAAGCATACGATACTACTTGGAAGCATGGCATTTTAAAGGATTTACATGACTTTGGTTTGAGAGGCCGTTTACCTCATTTTATATCACAATTTTTAACAGACAGACAATTTCAAGTCCGAGTGGGTACAACCCTGTCTAACCATTATAATCAGGATCAGGGTGTCCGACAAGGCAGTATTTTGTCTGTTACCTTGTTTAGTATCAAAATAAATAGTCTGTCCAAGGTTTTAAGTGATTCAGTGGATGGATCACTGTTCGTGGATGATTTTAATATATCTTCTTGTGGTAAAAATATGCACACCATAGAGAGGCAGTTACAAATCTGTCTCAATAAAATTCACAAGGGGTCTCTCGAAACGGGTTTAAATTTTCTCAATCTAAAACTAACTGTATACACTTCTGCAACAAAACCCTGAATTATTTTTGAATGGTACCCCTATCAAAGTTATAAAGGAGGCCAAATTCTTGGGACTCATCTTTGATAGCCATTTAACTTTCTTACCACACATTAAATCACTTAAAGCTTAATGCCTGAAGGCGCTCGATTTGTTAAAAGTTGTATCCAATTCAAAGTGGGGAGGGGATCAGACAACCCTCTTACACTTATTCAGGTCACTGATTCGTTCAAAACTTGATTACGGCTCCATCGTCTATGGTGGAGCCTGTAAAAGTAATTTAAAGAAACTTGATACTATCCATCACCAAGGACTGAGGCTTTGCCTTGGAGCCTTTCGCACTTCTCCTATTCCCAGTCTGTCTGTTGAAGCGGATGAGCCTTCTCTTAAACAACGCCGACTGAAACTATCTTTACAGTACATCACTAATTAAATTTTATTCTAATCAGTCAAATCCTGATTTTAATTGCGTATTTAATCCTCCTTACGAAGATATCAGTCGTTTCTGCTGCGAACATTAACTTTCAAGATATAGCTCCCAGAAAACTTTTTTCATCGCCTCCTTGGCAAATGGTAAGGCCAAATGTAGACCTCACATTAACCAGACTTAAGAAATCTGATACAAATCCACTTATTTATAAACAAGAATACAATCAATTAAGAAACACTTATGACACTTATAAATCTATATTTACAGATGGATTCAAGGATGGTGGCGCAGTTGCTAGTGCCACCATCATTGGATCCAGAACAGTATCTTCCCGATTACCCGATAATAGTTCCATATTCATAGCAGAAGCGCACGCAATTTTAACAGCATTAAATATATATAGAAGAAATCCAAATATAAAGACTTCATTATTTTTTCAGATTCACTTTCGTGCCTTCAGGCTATTAAAAATATGTCATGTAAACATCCATTTTTAATTGAAATTCTTGAGTTATTTAATGATCTTGCGACTGGCCAATATGACATCGTCTTTTGTTGGTTACCAAGCCATGTTGGGATTGTTGGTAACACACTGGCTGATGCTGCCGCAAAAGCAGCACTCAACAAATCTGTGACACCACTTCTTTAACCATACAGTGATTATAAACCTATAATTAGATCTTACATCCGTGATCTGATGCAAAAGAAGTGGGACACCCAAGTAGGTATCAATAAATTACATGAAATAAAACCAAATATTGGTTACACCTACTTGGGCTTTCAGTCCAGATTTGAAGAGGTTGTATTAAGACGATTGGTCACTCACGTTACACTCATGAACATTTGTTTAAAGGTGAGGATCCTCCATTTTGTATCCCTTGTGATGAAAGAATCACGGTCAAGCATGTCCCGCTTGACTGCATTGATTTTTCCATCACAAGGGATAAATATTTCAAAGTTCCATCACTCAAGGATCTTTTTTATCAGGTAAATTCTCATTTAATTCTTGCTTTTTTAAAAGAAATTGATTTAATTCATAAATTGTGATTGTTATGTTTTGTAAATAAATAACTTTTATGATCGGTTGATTAAATCAATAACTGTGATTGTTAGGGGCTATATCCTCAAAGGGGGTTAAAGTAGTGTAAAATTATTGTCCCCCTGAGAGGGTATGTAAGACCACGTCTTTCAAAGTATATTTATTTCTTCCACTTTTTAATCGTAGCATATATGTTATTTTAATGTTTGGCTAAATTATGTCAGTCGTCGCTAACAACTGGAGGGATGATGTAAATCCGACTGAGGTCCATGTAGGTAGCAAAAGTACTGTAAGTCCCTATGGTCTCCAGCGCGGTGATCAACCTTCAGTTTGTGGCGATCTATAGCCCGTTTTTATAATGTGTTGTCCAATGATTAAGTTAGTTATCTATTTTAACATATTCTCAAACTAGTTTTACGTAAATCTGTGATATGCTAGTTTTTATACTGCCCTTCGTCGGCAGAATTTTATACTGCTTAATATATATTGTTAATGTCAAATTTTGTTTCGTCACGATATGGCTGAAATATTTCCGATGTGACGTTAAGCTTAAACTCACTCACTCACTCATTCTCGTGCAGATGCTGATATTCGAGCTCCCGAGCTTGATCCACATGCCGCGCGGAATATAGCGAGGATTATTGCGAGGAAACACCGTACATGTGCATTAGCGTGGAAACGCTATCAGTATATTTTTAACCATGCCAAACAGGAGTTTCCCTGCTATTGCTCTCACATCATTTCCCCAAAAATATCTAGCCTCCTACGGTGGCCCATAAGGGACAAGGAGTCTGTTTTTCAATATTTTGATATTTCACTTATTGTTATCGTAACCTTTTGCAAATTAACACAATTTGACATACAACTATGTGATAAATCATGTATAAAGCAGATACTGAAATATTATCACCGCGGTGGAAATAGTTTTCTGTATTTTTACCAGTTTTTGACATTTTCGTTTTTGTTTTTGACATTTCCATTTTAGTTTTGGACATCTTCGCTTCACATTTCAGCGATTCAATAGCTACTTGAAAGTACATTTTCCATGTTTTCGGTTGTTTTAATACATGATTTATCACATATTTGTATGACAAAATTTAATAAAGCTACCCTGTTTTTTCGACCATCCGGGCACGTACCGGTTAAGTTGTTTCTGAGAGCGGAAGGTCCGGGGTTCGATCCCCGGCCGCGTCATACCAAAAGACGTTAAAAGATGGTACTTGTTGTTACCCTGTCTGGCGCTCGGCATTACGGGGCTAAAACAAGGACTGGTCGCCTCGGAGTCAGTATACTGTGTCTATTCATGGGATATTCATGTTAAACTGCGGCATGGTATCTCAGTAAGCTAGCACTATAAATTGGCATCAGTCCGGACTAGTACAAGCAGCCAGACAAACACACACACGTACATGCACGTGGCTATATGAGTGCAATAATCTTGGACGCGACGTTAAACCCCATTTCACCTCACCTCAGGTCCTTGATCAAGAGCCTCATCTGGCATCTATGTTTCCATCATATTTCAGACTGGATGCAAATGTCGTTGGAAATACACGGTAGAAAAAAACGGGGTCTGCTTCATTAATTTAGAGGTGTATATATGTGTTCGAAATTCGAAAATGCATAGCAGACTATGAGGCCGCCTCTGTCGTCTAGTGGAAGAGCATCCACCTGAAGCGGGGAAGGTCGTAGGTTCTATCCCCGGCCTCATCATACAAAATGACGTTAAAAGATGGTACCTATTGTTACCCTGTCTGGCGCTCGACATTAAAGGGCTCGTCGGCTCGGAGACAGTTACTGTAAACTGTGTCCGAGAGGGACATTCATGTTAAACTGCCGCATTTATAGTATGTCAGTGGGCTGTAACTATAAAATCGGCATTAGTCCGGACTAGTACAAGACTCTCTCTCTCTCTCTGAATGGAATTAGAAGGACTAAAAACCCGGCAGAATGATAACAATATTGGCCGAAGGGAATTAATTCCAGTCCAGTCACTCACCTTAACACTTTCCCACGCTACACTCGAGGTGGGTGCACAATCCTCTATCACTATGTGACAGCACAAAAACTCTGCTGAAACTAGGACCCTACGCGGGATAATGCACAGCCTGTTACCACGATGCAACAGCAGGGAGCCAACTAGACAGACGATCACACCAATCACCGCATGCAACATGCATACACAGAGCCTATAGTTATCCGCATGAAGCTGTGCACTGGATTCAGAACATTAACCATTGCTGACTGTGCATAGCAAGAGTCTTCAAGCTATTACACATCTTCCTGTAATTCGGAAATTGAGTTCGGTAAAGAAAAACAAAATACATTTACTATTTTTCAATACGCCAAATCACCAAAAGGCACCAGTTCATCATTAGACTGGAAACGAGCACTACTCTCATTTTCATAAATATGTATAAATAAACACCTCAAATCACCAAAAGGCACCAGTCATCACTGATCCTTATGGCAAGTTTCATTAAGAAATATTCAACGGTTTTGGAGTTCTGCCCCGTAAACGGGAAACGGACGAACGGACGGACATGCTGATCGCCATATCCCCCAGACCACACAGTCCAGTGGTTGAGAGCATGAGCATCAATCTACTCATTTAAGGATATACACATACATCAACACTGTCAGCGAGCCTTACCATCCGCTCCCGTTAGTCGCCTCGTCCAAGCATGGGTTGCTGCAGACCACTTCCAAGCCAGATCTTAATGGGGATTATTGCTGTGGAAATCTGAATGTGTGGAAATATGATCTATCGTTGTAATGCTGTTTATTATTCAGATATAATTGTGTTTAAAATTGACTGTGAAAACAGATGGTTTGGTGAATGCAAATACCAGGACAATATTTATTATTCTGAAATATGTGACGAAAGGATAAAACACGCTTACGATGTTTTAGTTAAAATTGTAAACACGAGGGAGAGATATAGCCTGTGTTATATGGCAATGTTATGTATTGTTAAACAATGTTGTAATTGTATTACATAGTTTGTCGTGAGATTCAGTAGAATAGCATTGTGTTTTAACAATGATTACTTGCAAGGAATGCAGTATATCTAATGTTAGCCGTGCCGTGGCAGTAATTATGTTTAAATGCTTTTAGCGACAAGTTTTTATCTTCTAGATCAGCTAGAACAGTGGTCTGTTTCTTCCATCTCACATTACATCAAGACCAGCGGATGTGTGATCGTTGTTTTCACACTGGATATCCAGCGTAGGACTATTTTAGAAGGTTGACCATTTTAGCTGGAGTATAAATATCATTATCACTGCCATGTTTTGCTATTACCACTGCCATTGTATTTTATAATGCTATTGTAATTGTTCCGCCATTGAAGTTTGTACTGCTACTCTATTGTGTACATCCGTGGTAATTGCTGTGCAGTTATTTGTATTGATTTGTAAACCTTGTTGATTTTATAATACATGTGTTAGCTGTATACCATTTCTTTGTTTTTTGGATGTTTTCACGCTGAATTATTTTATGTATAGATTTCATTGTTAACATATGTTTCAAATTGGAAATTGGGTGTTCGTCCGGGATCGAAACTTAATTTATCCCAAAATTATTTGTCAACATTATTGGATTAACATTTTGTCATCCTGTCCAATATCATACAAGCTTCCTGATGCATAGTAAAGTACTGTCGAAACTGTGTTATTCACACAGTTCAATATTGAACATGGCCATCATTATCTGCGCTTCTTTGATCAAGAGCCTCATCTAAATCTCCCAATTGGCATCTATTTATCATCATGTTTTAGTTGCTAGTGATACCATGTGTTGGGTGCTTCATTAATGTAGAGGTGTATATATGTGATCCGAAATTCGAGAGTGTAGTAAATAGTGCATACCGGGTTCGCATCATTAAAATAGAGACCGCATCCATGGTCTAGTGGTATAGCGTTCGCCCAATGAGTCATACCAAAATACCTTAAAAGATGGTACTTGTTGTAACCCTGTCCAGGCGCTCGGCATAAAGGGGGCTCAAACACACAGCAAAAAAAGTGCTTCCAACTTCAGATCCGACCCGGATACCTTCCGGATACCACGCCGAAAAAATGTCAGAATTTGTGGGGTGCTTTTTGTTCAATTAAGTGTGAAACACATAAACAACTTTATTTATATTTGCTGAAGGTATCCGGAAGGGATCCGGAGGCCAATTTTCTTCAAGTCCTGTTTCTAGTAAATAATGTTAGCCTGTGCATATCAGACAGCTTTTGTAATATTCTGTCTTATTTTAGTTGTAAATATCCTCCTAAAACTGAGATCTATGGGCATTGGAGAAGACAATTTTTCAATTTCATATAAAGTTCTCTTCAAATGTTAAGCGTATTTAATGAACAAACATCAGTTCATGTGTAATGATATCCTAAAATGTCATATTCAGACTTCCAGTTTGTACTGAGAAAAAGTTTAAAGTCATCGACAATGTGCTCACTTGGGCCTTTGGTCCTGGTGAGATGATAATAAGATTAGTTGTAACGGTACACGTACATGTACTTGTTATATCCAGACATATAAACTTCATTGAAGTTTGCCCCAACCTAAGGGTTTCATCGTACTACAGTGAGCGCTTCCTCAGTTACTGTGGATTTCTTTACTGAAAGAGATTGAGAGTTAATTTGACACTGTGAGTCGTAACCACTGCTCATATATGTGAATTCAAATATTAAAACAACAACATGCTTAATACTTCACAAATATCTCCAGAAATAGGCATTTTAGTTATAATGGCAGAAATACTTTAAGAATGACCTTCACTATTGCCTTGACCTTACACTTCAACCCTTCATGAGTTATCACTTTTAAGTGTTTAACATGGAGAGTGAATTTGTCTTTCAATATCCGTGATACATATTTCAAAAACTTTTCAAAGAGCTATCCAGCACATAAACAAAATATGATGTCCTATGGTGGAATTCAGTGTAACGTTAACAAAAAGTATGAAAATGATATGACCACTATATGTTTAAAAGTTACTAAGACTTTATTAATTGGTTATTTAGAGAAAAATGTAGTATATGTAGGTCACGCATGACCTTTTTCTAACTTCGACCCCTGCCGAAAGGAAGACTTAGGCCTCAAACAAACCTTTTGTCTGGCTGTGACTTTGACCTTTGACATAACAGATCAATGTGTCATCAGACTTTCTCAGAGCTAAGGAAACATGTGTTACTAGTATATATTTCGAGCTGCCCAAGCAATACATGGTTTCATAAGATCAGTGTGGCTATTAAACTGAGGCAAACTCATGAAACATCCCCATTTACACAGCTGGCTAATGAAACATAAACAACAAACAAATTATCAATTTCTTTTATTCATATGCCTATATCACACATTGAACACTGTTCACATGATGGTTCCTGATGGAGTGTGCAATTTCCTCCTATTCTTCAATACGCATGACCGAGTGTGATAACTGTTCGCTTGACAGCACGGTCACCAATTCAGAGAACTTACTTTCCCTCAAACCTCCCTTTTCTTCAACTCCCTGGAAGAACCGGAATATCATCTTGCCCAGATGCTGTATCATGAGCTTTGTTTAGAGCCTCTTGCAGTTTACGTAACGAAAAGATTCATTGTAGTCTTCAGAATTATCGGATTTGAAATTAAGAATCTTCTTTTCCAGCTGATTTTGATACCTTTGAAATTTAGGACCATAATTGGCAGACGATGAATTCTTGCTGATTGTCTCTGCCAGCTTATTAGCGAAGTTAATGTCTAATTATCAGCTGTTAAGTGTTGAACACTGCTAGTGGACCCTTAACCATTTATCCTTCGAAACATATTCCATACTTTATTGAGTGGAATACGTGAAGTCAGTTTGGAAACAAAATGTCTCCAGCTGCTTCGTCTATTTTGCTTAATGGTTCTACGAGCTTTTGCTCTTTTTATCCTTAAGTGTTTTAAATTATCTTGATGTTTATTAAAAACCCTTTCAGCCTTCTTCCTGGTCTTTCTAGCTTTTCTGCAATCTTTATTTACCATGGTGTACTAACATGTGGAGTTGTCGAGGTCTTAGAGATTGTTTCAGTGGCAATGTTGAGTAATGTTTCAGAATACAGTTTGATTTGATCACTATCATTTATAAAATGATCAACGTGCAATTTAGTATAGCACAAAGAACTAAAAGACAGCCAATCAGCCTTGGAAAATAGACATTTGGAAATGGAAATATCGACAAGGGGAGATATAGCTGTAAGCACGGTAGGAAAGTGATCACTGCCGCACAAATCACCATGAACTGACCATGAAAATTCATTATAAAGTGATGGGTCAGAAATTACCAAATCCAAAGCTTGGTATGTACCTGTTGCCAGGTGGAGGCAGGCGTTACTTCCATCATTAAGCAGAAATAGACAATGCTTAAGAATGTCTTCAAGTACTTTTCCCTTGCCATTATGTGTAGATGAACCTCATAAGGGATTGTGACCATTTAAGTCACCCACAATAATGAACGGCTTAGGAAGCTGGTCAATGAGATTATCCAGATCCCTGATTTGAAGAGCGTATGATGGAGGTATATATAAAGAGCACAGAGTTATTGCAATACTAGTAAGTAAAGTTATACGTACTGCAACGACTTGTAGGTTAGTATTTAGGGCAATAGGTCTATGTAGTGTATCCTGTTTCACCAGTATACTGGCGCCCCCAGAGGCCTTACCATTTGTAATCCTTCCAAATGAACTGTAGGTATCATATTGGCGTAAGTTAAATGGATGATCATCTCTTAAAACCGTTTCCTTGAGGCTAAATGCCACGGGGTTATAATCTTTACCTAAAAGTTTTATCTCTTCAAAATTAGCTCTTATATCTCGACAATTCCATTGTATCAGCGTATTAGTCATTTAGGGTGTGTTATTGGAGAGCGCTCCCGACCTTTCTTCTGGCTCCAGGAGCGGGTGCTCTGATGGGGTGACACTTCCATATCATCGTCCTTTTGGTATGCGATCAGTTATATTTTGTTTCTTTCAGTAGTCCACAATCACATTTTTCTTTTTCTCAAGTGTAGAAGAAGTAGTTTGAGTTTCTGCTGATTAAAAAGTTTGTTGTGAAG